ACAATTCATACCACAGTAATTTGACGAGTGTGTCCTCCTCGTGGGAGATTTCCACTGAATATCCCTGAACTTATTCCAAGCGATTCAGAGGATATATCATTTCAATAGAGGCCATCTACCCATCTTCCCTATGTGAGGTTTGGTAGTATTGTGTGTCTCAGTGAACAAAAGCTGCGCCAAGCAAGTTACACACTACCCAAACAAATAGTATCCTCAAAATAGTTTAGTTTCGGAAGGTGGTAATGAGTTAAGGTCCAAAGATTGTCTATTTCACCTGCTGTACATAGATGCTTCCTAATGTTAGCACATATGTTTATCACCCATTATTGGTTAACGTCAAATTCACTGCATACTTTGAAGCCAGTGATAAGTTCGTAACAACATTATCTTCTCCGGTTCAGAAAACAAGTGGGATTCAGCGTTGCTCTCTTTTTAGACCTTATGCGATAGTGGGTGCGGGATTTTTGTAGAATACACTTATGACTCTCTTTTGAGGAATCGTTTTCCTGTCCCGTCATAATCGTTCACACCAAAAGGGGGAGCAATGGACTCGAGTGTTGCTATCGTTAGAGCTGCTTTGCTGATGTATGTGACTGAACTCCGCGGACAGCACTGTTTCACTTTGATCTCATTTCGGGACAGGCTATCGTCTTTCGTTTCGTGACTTAACCACGCCGCATATCCCAGCCTTGGTGATTAATGCTGAACAAGATTTCGCGTTTGATGGTGATTGCCTACCTATTTAGGGAACTTACCACTTAGTTTAAGGTTATATACCTGCAAAAGAGAGTAGTATTGCCACAAAACATACGTCGCTTTCAAAACATACCTTCTTGTTTGTGAAAGCAAATGTCAATGAGGAACTTGAGATAGCCAAGAGGCTACCGCCCGGAACTACTGAACGAAAGGCCAATAGTTTGAATCTAACTCTGAACCTTCAGCTGTTTGTGCCCAGGATCAGAGAACCGGAACGTGCTTCCGCCTTGTTGATTCACTCGATTTGAACAACTGTCCTGGGTGGATCTTTTCTACAACCCAACGATTGTTAGCTTATACTGGTCTGAGCATCGGATCACTTAAAGACACAGCAATCATGCAAGCGCCATGATATTAATTTCACCAACATCCCCCGAATGCTGAGTCAACTTCGTCCACACGAGGTTCAGTGAAGTTGAGGATTATTTCTCCAGGTACCAGGACAGAAACCCATATCCACCGGATCAGTCATCACGATATACTTCATTTCGATTTTGTTCAGCTTTCGAGAGCAAGGGACATCATCCAATGGTTGTACCATGAACCAAACTGGGCCTGCAAAGAATTGTTGGCAAAACACCGTGGCTCATCTATATTATCTTCCACGAAAAATTAAACTGTACTGTTCGCAGGACCAATTATTAGGCATTTCGAAAGCTTATCCTGCTTGTAAGTTCTAAAATTCCACCCCACATACGATACCTCTTGTCAAGTAGAGTAGCAATCAGCCCGAAATAATCTTGCTTCTACGGAGTTCATGTCGCTATGTTGACTCTGTCAACATTTTGTTCCTCGTTAATTTGATGGATTAATGTTTTGGAGAATTCAAAACTCTTAGATTTTCTCGAAAACATGTACCTCGTCTAGGGGGAAAATTCAAGGAAAGGTGTATAGCAAAAGTAACCGGCTCTTGAAGTTCGAAACTGATCAAATAACAATCGAACTATGTTCGTTCCACCCAAAGAGCTGTGATAAGAAATTGCTTTCCCAAGGCTTTTCAATTCATTCATCTTTTATTTGTGAAACTTCAAGTGAACAGCTTGTTGATGATCAAATCTATCGTGATTATCGTGAGGAGTACTGAAGAACTTTTTAACGAAGCTGTCATGTCCCTAATGAAATTTGTAATTTGGCCATGCCGACTTTGACCAATTGAAATAAATGCATCATCTCCTGGTTTATAATGATTTCGTTCTCTGCACGAAATACCGGTGGAAATGGTCTCGGGACGCTGTCCCTCGGGGAGTAAAATACAGTAAACTTAGGTTGCGCTTTCCAGGTTCGCGGAACTGAAAAAAATCATAAACGAGACATCCTCCTGGGTTCCAGGTGAGTCTGGTGTCAGAACTAAATTGGTATGCAAATGGATGTAGTCTGTTTTGTTCGACGCCGCTCCTCATCCACCGGATTATCAAAAAGTCCAACATTGCACACCGTGAGCGAACAGAGACCCATTCCTTGTTCTGAGAATACGTCCCCTGAGTAATGAGAAGGCCCAATTTTAATGCGCCATTTGGCCATACTTAGAACGCTTGGTGTCAGAAGCTTTTCTTGTTAGGGGGCTCAGTTGGTCTGGCCACGAAACTTCGGAACTGCTGACGACGGTACGAGAATTTCTTATTAGAAAGTATCTTGTGTGTTTTGCCAAAGTTTGGGTTTCTATTTTGTGGACCATGGCTTCGATTCACTGATAACTGGTCACAAAATCTGTGGCGAAAAATCAGCCTTTGTTTCTTGAAGAACTAGCGGGAATTCAGGATCACTGGGTCATGAGAAATATAAATCCATGAAACGAAACAAATCGTCAAGTCCTTTTCAACCAGGGCTGCTCTCCAGAACTTACATTCGGTTTCGGAATTTCGGTGAGTTTGGTCTTCGGTCCACCTAGGAACACCACGAATGCTTTGAATTATCATGGGACCTTTAGAGAAGCAACAAATCATACCGACACAAAGGAATAGTGCCTTTTGTACACGAAGCTAAATTTTAAGCAACCAAAGAGATCAGTTTCATCGGTGAAGTTTTCACTTTTGGTGTTCTGGAAGCAAGGAGATTAATGAAACGAACGGTTGAACAAGGATAACAGTGTGACACCGAGAAACGACGGACAGCACAGAAATAGCGAGTACACTTGAATGATGCATTCAAGCCCCTGTTTCGAACTTCGATTTTTTTCACCTTATTTACGACGTTTTCGTATAATTTTCCGAGCGACCTCTGGCATATATTTCTTGTTCGATTGGTCTCCACAAAACTGGTACTTGTTTCCAGGCTGTTTGCAAAATTATTTTAGGATTTAAGTCAGCCCATGATCCGATGTCCTAGCCTTCCGCGTTATAAATCATCGGCAAATTAGACGACACTAGCTGTATTCGAATACTATACGATTCCAACGAGTCCAGCGAGTGTTCACTGTAACACCATATATATTTACGCGTCAGTGTGCAATCAGTGCAAAAATTGAGATTTCAACCACACTTTCTCCCTGAGCTACACTTCGTTTATCTCCTGCTACGTAAAACATTTTCATCGTGAAACCTTGCGTAACTTTAAAGTTGTATGATTTTGATTATCCCCACTGGTTCTCAAAAAATGGAACAGAAGAAACAACTATACTAATGTTCCGCAATTTACCATCAGGTGCTCCGGTGACTTCCACTCTAAAACATCCAAGCTTCCTGGGAATATTTAGTGAAACTCTACTGAAGGCAAGACGCACTACCAATTTTGCACTAATTTTAGCCCAATATCATCAGAATTCCATCGATACATCATTGTAGAGGTGATCAGGTACCATACCATAAACTCTTAAATGAAGGTGACAAGCATATTCAGAAATAGTTAAATCGCATGTAAAAAAGAGCACTTGGCAATCAACTGAACAAGAGGTTTTTGGAGTTCTCAGAAGTGAGTTCAGGAGGACTAAAAAACAAGAATATCAAGAAAGACCAGATAAGTCCATTGGTGCAGAACAAATCTGAGATCGCCTACGCCCCTGTGTACTTCCTCTGAGGAACTTGCTGTTGCTTCACTATGACCCTGATTCCAAGACATCCGAATAGGACTGCGGTCTTGTGATGAGGGAATTTTGTGGCAAATGTACGGCCTTCCGACAATAGACATGGATATAATGGCTTTTCCTAGGTGTGATAAGATGTCAATTCAGATATGCCACATCAAAATAAATTCCGCCATAATCATTATCGGACAAAACTAATCACACTAAGTTACGCATATTACTAGAATGTTGTATGGTTATTATTACTTCCATTTGATTCAGGAACTTTACACACACTGTCGTTTTGTGTTTTGAACGGAGCGCGGTAAGGTCCGTGCCATTCTTGCTTACGTCTACCATTTAACGTATATTCTTTGATGCAAATGTATAAATATTTCTCGAACCAACGACGTTTATAACGTTGCTGAAAGAGCTTTGACAGTGCACTATAGGGTTCACCCCTCGTGGGGCTCATCTGATAAGCGTAAACTTTGCGGACTTATTGCGGCCACTCTTAATTGGAGTTCCAGTTAACAACGGAGCGATTTGCAAATGATTGTACATCTGCTAAATTTGCATACGGTATTCACATTCGCATCGTTCAGCTATGAACATTCCTTATTCAGTCCCAATGCAATTGTTCTGGTCAGTCCATACCCAAAGAGAACAGCATTGGACGTGAGTTTCGCTTTTGTTAGAGCTCAATAATACTGTGCATACTTGGTCCTATCTGGAGCTCCGAACATTTAACTTCCGGCGCAAACCTGTAGACACGAGAATGGTTTTTCAAACGACAAAACGTGAATGTGAGTCCTACAAATCCCGCAGCTACAAACAACTATGTACATTTTATTTTTATGGTGGGCTGGCAGTCAATCTAGGGGCACTCATGCGAAGGAAAGACCCAGTCATTAAAGTAGGGGCTGTTTAACCAGTAGGCCACCTTATGACAAGTGACATCTGGTTTTAGCGATCATCCGAAATCAAATTTTCAAGCCTCAAAACGTCACACTTCGTCTTCTGTGAGTTGCGTTCCATCTAAGTTGAAATCAAATTACGACTATGTTGTTTGTCCTTCCATCTAGTCCAGTGCCCATTGTTGAAACTGGTAACTTACTTCGTGGTAGTGCATTTTTGTACACATTTTACTGATCATCTTCCGGATGATGGGACCGATGAAATTAAGATAACGACAAGTTCGCTAATGAGAGCCACGCATCAAAAATACGTACTGGCATCTACTTACCATAAAACCATGAGAAATGAAGCTTCTGCAGAGCGGCGGGAACTAAAAACGGTAGGAAAGTAGTACCAGGAAGTTTTGCGCCCTTGGAGAAAATGACAAAGAATGAAGAGCCTAACTCCTTGAAATATCGCCGAAATGTGCATACATAGTCACCATATCAATATAAGGCATCATCCTTTGGTTTCGGCTGGCGTTCTTCGTGAATTTATTCCAAGTTGATGTACAACGATGGAACAACCTTTGCTGGACAGCCTAAACAAGAATTGACAGCATACTATCCACTAGGATCAAATACGTGCCACATATGGAAGGGCTTTCAGCTACGTTCATGGGCCCCGGTCTTAAGGGTGTCAAGGTTCCAGAGCCATCGTTTTGGCTGATGCCGGTTTTATTTCACGTTACCAAACCATGGCCCGACCAGTGTAAACAGTACCCTAGCGATTGTTTGGAATAGAATAACACTGCTATTTATTTAACGGTGGTTTGGCATACTTAGTAAATTCAACAGCCACGTTGACCTGACAGCTATTAGCTGCAACACCAACGATTATGACTTCCTACCGAATACAAGGTTGGAAATCATTTCGGTGCACACGCATACTGAAGCCAGCTAGATTTGTTCCACTCAGATAGCAACAGTGATTGAACATGTCGACATGCTGGTAGCTCGAATGAGTTCACTGGTTGTTGAGCAACTTTGATCGGTCCCGTCTCAACTTGCATTACTTTGAGGTTGATTGATTAGATGCATTACAATATTTCCTCCATTGTAATGGCCGGTCTCCCTGCTTTTGCTGGTTAATTTCGTACTTTGATTTACTGGCTGGGTGACATCTGCAATCACGCCTGTGTCCTTTTGAATCGGGCTCTCCTGCTGCTTCTTTCAAATACTCATCTGGTTTCTTGTCCAGTTTAGAGCTGCGGAGTGCTGGAGTTCCCTTACTCTTGGTAGTTGATAAGGGATAGTCGTTAAGTTTGTGTCGGTGAGGAAAAAGCTATACAGTGCAAACAGTACATACCATCACGATGTTGTCATACTTTCAAAGTTGGGAGAGCTACGCAATTTCTTCGTGATATTCCCTCAAGGACAAGGGACTGAATGACGGCATAATTCGTCACTTGGATTTTTCAATCAAATGCGAACAGTTCTGAACGTCAAATTTCACCTAATGGCATACCAAATCAACAGACGTGGCGTATCCATTCTAAGAAAACCCCCCATCTTTTATCAGCAGGTTTGTCCTGTCGTCGTTTGAGAAAGCTAATTGTCCACCTAATCACGAAATCTAAAGACGTGTAAACGACCGACAGTACAATTCGTGCCCGCATTCCTAACCGTACAATCCGGGGCATAACGATTTGGGTAAGTGACAGGGAGCAAAAATCAAGGCTGAAACCGTGGGAACTACAATGGCATAGATAAGTGAAGCAAGAAAACAATCCAACCGAAGACAAGTACGGATTTTGTCGTGGCTGTGTGGGATACAGCATGAAGTAAGACAGGTGTGGTGCCTGGAGGCACCTGCCAACCTACCCTGACGTCTTTGGATTGAGCAGCGATGACGCCAAGACTGGTACAGTCGCGTTGGCCCGGTAGTGCGGCTGACCCATCAAGACAATTTTGTCCTTACCTAGTCTGCAGTTGTATGCATCTCAATTGGTTGACTCATTTGAAGATTCCATTGGCTGGGTTACACCAGTATCGCATTACGTCAGCCGTCGGCACTGATCAACAGAACTGACAACTCATGAGACCGAACGATCACAATAATTTTTAGACGAAAGATAAGACAGCACGGAAAGCGTATAGCCAGGGCATGTAAATTCAGTCAACGGTAATTTTTCGAGCGGCGCGGTTTGCGATAAACCTTGTGTGTACACTGCTGAACAATACTTATCTGATGTAAATCTGGATAGAAGAACATAGAACGAACGGAAGCGAGCTTTGCACACACGTGCGTGACACTCACATTCATACACCTAATTGAGCATGTTGTCGCCTGGACGTTTGTACCTGTCTCTACCATAAGTTAAGCAGAATTTCGAGCTATACACCCCAATTAATGTTTCTGTAAATTCTTCTTGTTTTACTAAAAAAGCTTTTATTCACATTCCGTGCATTCCAACCACTAGGAGTGAAGTAGCCAACAAAACGGATAATCCTACAAGTATATTTGCAATAAGGTTGCTGAAAATCCATTGACAGCACACGACCGGTTTCGCCCTTCTTGGGGCTCATCAGGTAGGCGCAGTCCCCGAGTTTCCGTCAACCTTATGTTCTACTTGAAACCAAATTGCACGAGATTAGCAAATATACACTCATCTGCAAACTAATTTGGTTCTTTCGAGAGATTCAGCTGGGTTTCAGGTGAGTCTCTCGAAAGAACCAAGTTAGTTTGCAAATGAGTGTATATTCGCTAATTTCCTGCAATCAAATTAGTTTGCAGGTGAGTGTATATTCGGATAATCCTACAAATTATTTTAGGTTACGGCGTGAGATCCACCTTCATCCTATCATGCCATTGTAGGTTATGTTGTTGTTAGTACAATATGGACAACGTAGTAATAATAAATTTCCCCAAATAAGAATAGTTTCGCAACTTACCCAGCAGCAGCACCTCTCAATGCACTGGATTAACCCGCTTCATAATCCAGAGGTGACAGATCACCTGATATCCTTGCAACTCTACAGGGTGAATATATTGTGAACCAGAAGAGATGAAAGGTGCAGGACAGGAGTGGAAAGTTCAAAACTGGGTGAAATGCAAGGCGTAGCTTTGGTTACGTCAGTAGAAACAGGTTTTTTTCACAACTACAGTTGCGCAATATATCTCTGAGTTTCACACAATGTATGGCTTAGCATACCAAGGAAAAACTAAATCTAATGTACCTGTTTGGTTGCTCTTTCATAAGAGACAAGTGGCGTTTTATACGTGGTCTACGAACATAAAGTTTCGTGAGTGCCAGCCTGAAAATCAGAAAGTCCCGCAGTGCACAGGTAACATTATCACTCCGCGGCAGACTATTTTCATAGTTCGCATTGGTCTGAAGGCAGAATACAACCAACGCTACGAAGTTGTACAAGGGAATGAGCTGGATCCCCATTAAATGCTTTCATCCCGATTACCAGACTGCAGCGAAATTACTTGGTATCGAATGTAAGTAGGTGGATTTTTGTCCAGGACCTCATCAATTTATTTTGAACCCATTCACATCCACGAGTGAACAACTGTTCCAGTATCACAGCGGTAGCAGATTGGGCTTGGTGAATGTACAACCATAATCCGCTTAGGCAGTTAGCACTAAAAGAATAGAAAATTGCAATCACATATAAGGGAAGGTAATGCATTTTGACCAGAGCTGACCTATAGCAACTTACGTTTACTTGAAGTTCACCTATCCTTCTCAAAGTGACTCCACCATTACTATGATCTTCTTCAAAACGGTTTGGAATTGAAAAACTTCTTACAAGTGTAACCTGCTTACCAAAACCTAATCGGTGTTCCATAATATAAAGCTCAAGCGTGATCGAATGTCAGTGAACGACCTCTGAGGTGACTGCACGAGAAGTGGAATAATTATAGGGATTCGTACAGGAACAATGTCGAGTTTCTTTACCTCATCATGACCTTAGATGAGGTCGCACGATTCTATTCTTTCATTAGTGTTGTTTATGATTGTCAAACGCTTCGGCTAGGAATTCCAAAAAACACATGCTTCCCAACATACCATGCTCACGTGAAACTTCATTGTGACACCCGATATTTTTTATTGGTGGATGAAGCATTGAGTCCATAAAAGGCGATAATGATAATGTACCCGTCTGGGACAGGACAAATCAGGCCGCCGTGAGTCTTTCGGACAGCAATATCTTCATGTGATTTTCATTGGAAAGCCGTCCCACATTCCAGCATACGTGTACGAGCTTATTTGGTTGGTACAATTATACCATTCCTCGTCTATATGCTGAAACCACGAGTCGCTCGTCGTCGGAAGTGTAAGAGTTCAAACTGGTAGTCGGGAATTTGCGGGTTTGATACACTTTGGAGTCACATGATATGCACACTGATGATGATTCCTAATGAGAATGAAACAGCTGTACAGTCCTTCTCGGCTTTCCAGCATAGATTGACTTCATTTAAAGGAGGAAGTCACGAAAATTTCTAAATCTCCCCCTGATTAGGTTGTTGTTCACAGATGCCACCCAACCGTATAGTAGTAACTCATTTAATGGTCACTCTGGTTGAGTTTTAAATGAGCTAAGAAAGTCCCTGATGATCACAGCTGAAATAACGGTCCTACTAACCGCACGTGGATGTCTACCAAAGTACGTGCTAAATCAATACAGCGCTTATGCTGACATGCAACACAAGGGTTTCACGCCAAGTTGCCAAGGATATCATTCAATTTGGTTTACTTGACTCACAAAACCCTGCCATGGCATAAAAATAAAGTTACAAAGTCTCACTAGATTCAGCCGTACCATGAACAGTCCACTAGCCTGCACGAGTTATCTTTTTCTGTTGATTTTTGAAGCTTTCTTAGAAACCTGGGAGGAACAAATAACGGACGAAATAATTAGGAAATCCCATTGACGAGTCAGGTGATGGAACTGGTAAAATTAGAGATCTTCCTCGTGTACATGTGGAATTTGAAGGTACAATTGAAAAGCAGATGCTGGACATGTGACAAGATAAAAAATCTAGTATGTGAGACTGCACTAAGTTTAATCAGGAAGAATTTCGCTTGAGGCATTTCACAGACTTTAGAACAGATTTAATGCACTTAGACGGGCCCGGAGCACCATTACGGAGTGTTTTCTGAGCAACTTTTTGGGTCTCACTGAATTTAAATTTTTGAGTGTCTAGTAATTTGTGCCATCTGACTTCTCCTGATTACGAACCGCAGCCGACGGACGATCAAGACTCTTCCGTATTAGACAAAAACCTACTTAAGTGGAATACTTACTAGATACTTGCTGTTGTAAAAGGGGTTTACACTGTTTTCAAGAAGACATCAGCTGGTCGCGATGTATACGAAAAAATGAGGAACAAATACGGAATCTCATAGAAAACAAACAAA